CCTTGGTCCAAGATTACCTTCTCTACTCCCCATTTCCCCTGCTCCTCTTCTAGCATGACTTACTGCTTCACTTCACAGCTTTAGTCCAATTAAAACAGAGGTGCGCGTGCGTGTGAAGGTTGCAGAGCACACTCGCGCGTGCAGAAATATACTTGCATAGATTTGAAAAAAGAAAAAAATCCAAATGGCCATAAAATGGCACAGATGTGAAATTCTGATTATTTGATCCAGCAGTAATTGTTTTAGTTTTTTATGCATGGGTGTAGTGTGTTTGTTTTTTCACTTATCAAGTCCCACACTTTCTCTTATGCGTGTTTTGATTTAGTAAATGACACATTTTATTGGTTTGTTTTGTTGTCAAGTTCAGTTTTAATTTGCTACACCATGTCAAAAAGATTAGAGGATCCAGCACAAAGGGGGAAAAGTACAAGAGGAACAAATATAACCTTCAAACATAAGCTTTGTATAACAAATAGGAGAAAATGAACAAGTAGAAAAAAAATATGCTCATTGAAAAGCGAGGAACAAAAAGTGCTACAAGTGGAAATCTGCTGGAGGATAAAGATCAATACGTAAAACATCTGGAATGAGGCAACAAAGACAGGTCCTGCACAGAACAACACAAGCAGACACTATTTAAACACTTAAATAATAGTTTTATTCAGTCAGAAACCAAGTCTCAGCGATGACACAGATTGTGGAAGTTCCTCCGTTCAAATCAAACTTCCTGTTCCACAGAGAAACAGGTCCTCAGTGCTGGACAGCCCCCGCGCTCTGCTGAAGGTCACCAGTTTTATGTTCCATGTATGGCGCTCATAAATTCTGCTACTTTGTTGTGTGTGTGCGTGACTGAGTGTGTGTGTGTCTGCGCACATGCAGCTCATAAACTACCACTACTTAGTGCTTTCTGCAGTAACTAATTTCACGGCCTGTTCTGAATTCTTGAGCAACAACAAGGACGTCCTCTTAGTTTTATGAACAAACAGAAGCTCACTTCTGTGTTACATCGCAAATTTTAAATTTATAATTTATATTCTCCTTGTTTTACATCTAAGATGTCAAGTAGAGAAAATATATGTTGAAATTAGAGGTCCTAAAGTTAAAACTCACACTGATTACTGGATCTAGCGTGTTTGAAAGTCACACTCATTTAAAATAAAAACATACATCTTTGATTCTTAATTAGCCAAGTTACTACTTTTTTTCCAGTCTAAAAACTGACTTCACCATTTGCATGTCTGACTTCTCATAGAAAAACAACAGTGCTGCGAAATGCTTTTTTTATCTTTTCAAATAAGGAAAAAGAAAGTTTATCGTCCGTTTAAAAATGTGTTGACACATAATGATATCTGTAAATAGGAAGGATAAAATAGCTCAATGCAGCTTTAAAGCAACAGCAGGAGTTCCAGTAAAATGCATCTGTGGACGTTGTGTTACCTGAAAAGATTTAAATGAAACAGAAACATCAGACCTGGCTCAGAGGTTATCGATGGACATCAGAGTTCAGCTCAAACAGAGTGAAGGGCAACGCACGGCAGCAGCATTTGAGGAGGCTGTCCAGAAACGCTGTGAGACATTAGTCTGGCTCAGATCTGCCCCAGCACATGTGGACCTTGCAGCTTGCGATGATATGCATCACAGGCTGCATACAATTAGGTTTGAACAAACCAAAAATACTGACAGATAAAACTCATGGTCTAGTAAATAAGGGATATTTTGAAAAAGAGAATAATCGGGAACTACGTCTATGAATGTTTCCTGAATTAAATTTTATTAGACACTATTTTTGGGAGGATATGTTGAAGAAAACAAAGCAACACATCCCTCCAGTATAGAAGAGCTGAAATAAATAGTCTCTGTGAGACCCTTCTTTTAATAATAAAGTTAATTAAAACTGTTTTTATGACATCAACAGGCTCATTCTCTATTCTTTGTGCATCACTTTTTACTCATCAGGCATGTTTGATGTATAATAGTGAGAGATCCTATAGTTGAATGTGGACATCAATTGTTGGAGGAACCCAGAAACCTGCTAAACCTCAGAAACAGCATTTTGGAGAGACAAAAAAAGAAGAAGAAGAAAGGACACGGTTAAGGAGCCCAGGAATAAAAATAAAAGCTCAGAAAAAAAAAAGAGATCAAGCATGTTACATGTTTGGGGACCAGTGGCTTGATTGTGCTTTTCCTCCATTTTGGCTGTTGCTCACTCTGAGCCCCGGGAACAGTGCCCAGACAGGGAGGAGAGAGGGGTGGAGAGGGAGGGTGGTGGGTGGATGTGGTTGGGGTGGGGGGTGGCGGTGGTGTTAAGAAATGGGACAAAGATGGGAAACAAAACGAAAGGGCTGAAACACGCCAAGATCAGGAAGCGGTTTCTTGAAACGAAGGCGGAAATGAAACGGTGCAGTGTTACCAGTTTAATTGAAAATGAGAGAGCAGCATATTGCCGCCCATGAAGAGTGGAGAGGAGTGGAGAATGAGACTGATGGGGGGGGGATGGGGGGGGGTACATAGAACAGCATGCAAAGGGCAAACTGCCCAGTTCATCAGTGTGAAGGAAACAATATGGCTCGAGTTTCTTCTGCTCAGCCATTCTGATCTGCTGAATTCATTATTCCTGCATGTTGTTCCTGTGTGTGGAGATGCATGTGTGTTCTTGTATTGATGTCTATGTGGGCCTGTGGATAAGATGTTGGATGTGTGCTCATTTCGAAGTGTGTGTTTGGCTTTTTGGCAGCCTGTGCTCCAGATGCACAGGGTTGTTATTGTGTGGCGACATATTAAATGCTTGAAGGAGACATTTCTTTGGGTTTCCTGCAAACAGAATTGGATCTCCTCCTCTCCCCTCTTCTTTCTGCTCTCTAATAGACAATTACAGGATAGGATCTGCTCTCCTGGCTCAGCTGGGCTTTGAAAAGCTTACATGAATATCTCGAAATTAGCAGGAAGCTCTTGAGGCAAAAAAAGACGTTCTCTCCAGGAGCTAAATTATACAATTTCTTTCCTACTTTTTCTGCCCTCACGAAAACTCTTGTATCTTTTCGAGGCCATGCTTTGCCATTTGTTTACCTCATGTCTCTACAGCTCATTCATTCTGTCCTCCTCTTCCAGGTGCTGCCGGTAAGCGGAGGTATAAACGTCGCGAGGTGGAGCAGATCCAGAAGGACGTCAGGAGGATGCATTCTTTGAACTTTGATCATGTRCAGAAGATCCTCCGAGCCAAGCGTCTGCAGCGACAAGCCAAAACAGGAAACAATGTCATCAAACGACGGCCCGGGCGGCCCCGAAAACAACCTGTGGAGGAACCGAAGCCGGCCAGCATTAGGGAAGRAAACTGGGCCGACGCTCGAGGTTTGGACATGTTGGCCAGCAGGAGGAGCGACGGGAGGACTTTGGGGATGCCCGTCCTGGAGAGGTGTGATAACCTGCCGGGTAGGCCGAGCCTCAGGCCGAGCCTAACCCTCGAGACTCAGGAGCACTCCGGTCATGATTCCATCTCAGCAGCTATTGAGAACGTGGTGCATCAGGCACGGTCCGTACCTCCGCCGGCTAAAGAGGGCAAACGCAGGGGCAGGGGCCACAGCAGGGACGAACTCTGGTCTCCTAACAGCCAGTAACACTGAACAGAGAGCAGTTAACAGAGTCCACGCTGACTCAAGCCTATCGGATGCAGTTCCCTACAGCTTGGGACGATTGATGCACTTTGGCTGCTTTCTCCTCTCTCGTGTTGTGAGGAGCACCGTGGACAGAGTGGTGGTTAATGGGGAGCAGGAGAAAGACTTTCCCCAACCAGAACCCGACCAGACATGGGCCTTTCAAAGATTCATTGGACCTTCATTTACAATGGCACTATATGGTACAATTTGATACTGAATCTGATGCTATAAAAGTGTGTGGTACTTATGATAGAGTAGGATTTTATGTGATTCTTTATGTATCTGATACAGTGATGTGTATGGTACTTTATGATACAGTATCTGAATGTGGCATTAGCCATATATTTACCAGCAAGGAGAGGAGTGAATGGTTATATAAAACTGTGCAGCTCTGTTTATTTTATTACAATTTTTTTGCCTTTCTGAGGAAGTTTGTCTAAGACATGTGAGATAACACATCAGTAAATAAGCCACCTGTGTTTTTTTTCCAGTACCTTTTGAATTTTCTTCGAAGTAATATACTTCCTGGCAGCTCCTCGTCTCTGCTTGACATTCTCCCAGTTTTTGTTAGCACTCTTTGATGTCTGCTGCTCTGCTTTACCCTCCTTATTTGCGCCTACTGATGTTTTGCATCTTCGGTCCTTGAGCTTCCTCGATTTACCCCGTGAGTCATGTATTCCTCCCGAAGCTGCTCAGGCCTCTCCTGGGCAGCAAATAAAAGGCAATATGGTGGGTGAGGAGACTGTTCCACACTGTACATAAACATGAAGTCCAGTGTTGCCTGCCTTGTAGAATGGGAAACCAGCTCATAGTTGTGTACCATCATACAGTATATTAAATAGAATTGTTGTATCATAGACGATGAAAGTGTGTATTGTTTTATAACCAAAAAACAGACATGGGTGTGACTCGAGACAAGTTTGTTTTCAGACAGAAGGGAAAAGAAAAAAACGCATATATTCATTCATACATTCATTTTTGTGTTTATATCGGGGGGGTCGATGCATAAAAGAGGGGTGTTTGGGTGTATTTTTGGAAAAGTTTGTTAAATGCACTATTTAAAAAAAAACATTCACTTGCATCAATCAAATGCAGCACTTAAACGCTTGTTCTAGCCTTATATTTTTTGGCATTTTTTCACTGGTTTGGGTGTCCACTCCAGGGAACATGCATTATTTTTAATCAATTCGTATATGCAGGCTGCGCAGCCATAAAAACCCAAGCTTGAGTCTGGATCGCARTTGGACAGTTCAGCAAACAGAGGGCTCACATTCAGTATTATGGAACAAAATATATATATATACAGTATATCCCTGTCTTTTTACTTAACATGCTTTTAAATTCTTGTCCCTGGAGATATTTTTGGAAAATCCAGTATTTAGATTTAGAAACCAAAGTCTCAGTATTTGTCATGCAGATGTAAGAGTAACGGGGTGGACGAACTCTTCATCGTGCTCAACAATGTAAAGCATTCCTATGTGCACTGTAGATTGTAGCCAATTTAAAATTTGTGTCAATGAGTCAAGCCTTTGTTCAACTCTTTTTACAGTATATGTGGCGTTGGGTAGTGGTTAAAAAAATTCCCAGACCAGTATTTCAGTACAGAGCAGTATTTCTTTTGGCTTTTGTTTTAGTTTTGTTTTGTTTCAGGAGTTTCCGTTTTCTTTTGATGGGGGTGGCATTCTCAGTTGTAGCAGCTCAACTTGTGCCTTATGTTTCGTTCTATCACTGATTGCATTCAACTCAAGGAACAGAAAGCGGCGAGGAGGCCCACAGAGCGACCCGAAATCTTCATGATTGTGCATAATGTGTCTTAGTCATCAGAACCCCGATGCTGCYTGCGTCCCTTCATCAGCATCCTCTCTGAGTCCGCCTGTCTCCCAGCTTCCTCCTCGTTTTCTGACCAGCGATAGAAGGGCTGGACTCACAGTATTAAACACACGTCATGTCCTGACCTAGTTACTGCTGCACCGCAGCGGTGGAAACACAAAAACCCCACTGTGTGAGACGTGTCTGTCAAGWGGTAATGATTGTCCCATGTATAATTGAACATCCCTCACGCTCTCCTGAGATTTTAACAAGTTATTCAAAACACATAACTGGTTAAACATCTGGCCAAGGAGGAACAGAGGCAGATGTCATCGTTTGCTATGCATCAGGCCATATCTGGCAGTGACCTTAAAAAGAAAAAATTAGCGGTCTGCGCCCTTCAACAAAAAAGAAACAAGTGGTCTTATTAAGTGAAGAAAATAAATCCACGTCAGGAGATTTATGAATACCAGTAATAATTTGTGCAGAAAGAGACTATCATTTCCAGAAAACCATACTATAGTTACTGCCACACTGTGCAGTACAGCCTTAAACAGATGTGAAACTACAGTATAAACCTGTTTGTTGTAAATAGTGTTACTGTGTGCGTCCCGCATGSATAGTCAAGCCCGGATACTCTGAGACAGTCTCGTAAAAAACCCACGACGCTCCATCTGTCTCTGCCAAGACTGCTCAAGACCGAAGGAAAAACGTCCAAAAGTTACTAAAATGATGTGATTTTATTTTTGATAAACTCCACAATCAAGTGTTCCATCTCATCAAGTTACATAAAAAGATTTTAAAAAAACGTAACAAAAATTAAAAAAATAAATAAATAAAAAAGTCTGCCTTACCACAGTTTGAAAGTTCTTAGAGCTCTGTTGTAGTATACTCAACAAAAAAATAAAAAATCCCGGTTGACTTTTTAGCTACTTTGCCTGCAGCCAGTTGGTGCAGCTTCGTAGCGTGGAGAGCGAGTGAGTGTAGGGGGGGTAAGGGATGGTGGAGAGGGGGAGCTCTCAGAGGAAACAGCCAAAAATACGCTCGACCTAATGTTATAGCGTGCTTAACCTTGCTTTGCTGGGTGACTTTCGGTGGGTCTGCAGTCTGTTTGTGGTGAAGATTAGATCTTTTCATGTGGGCCCGCTTTCCTCCTGTGGTCAGGCAGCGGCCTCTGATGCTGGAGTCAAACGGCCTCCGGGTAAATACGTCCGTCCTGTCTGTCTGTCTCACTCCTACCAGCCGATGCTCCGGTGCCTTCTAACACTGACAAGTATTGTCCAAATCCAGAGCTTTCACTCTGTGCAGACTTCAGAGGGGGATGTGGTTGAGAAAAAGGGATCGCCGATGTTAGCGGCCAGTCTGGACCAGTGGGTACGACTGAACTCTGGTGTGAGCGCCCTTTAGCTCGGTCCTGTGGCTGCGGTGTTTGAGCCTACATTAGTGTTAGAGGAGTATTTCCTGTCTGAACCATTTCAATAGAGCAGCTAGAAGAGAAACTGGCACCGAAACCTTTTTGTTTTTGATCACCCCTTCATTCCCGATGTAGCATGCAGTGATGAGTGTCCCACACACGGAGCCGAGGTCAAAGCAGATGCTAAATAAATGTACTGTACACTGTTGTCGTCCTCGCCGCATATGCTTCCCCCATTCTGAGCTATAATGTTTTTTAAAAACAAACGTGCAGACGAAGCATCGAAGAAAAACCAATAAATGTACTTCTGCAGAGCACAAAGTGAGCTCTTCTAACCACGCGGGCATATTTTAATTTGTATACATAGTGTATTTGAACCTTTTTCTAGAGTGGGTTTTCTTTATTTGCATGCTAAATTTGATTGTATGCATAAATATTTTAGACAAGTTGAATTTCAATTGACCTTGAAGCAAAACTTGTACATTGTTTGATATGTTTCTTTTTGTAATGGATTTTTTAAAATTCATGAGGCATTTTTGTACATTGTATGAATATTAAAAACTGCAAATATTTGACATATAGAGTAAATACTAGATGCGCATGCATATGCATATATCCCTCACGGTATATATGTGTAAACGTACCCATATATTTTGTATTTGGATCTGCCAGCATACAGATATATGTCTTAAGCACATATATACATGTAATATATGTATATCCATGTCTGCTGGCATGCTTTTGGTCATGTTTTACTTTTCATGATCTTGTAGGTTCATTAAAAAAGGTTAAAAAAATCTTCTTTTCCTCAAAAAGAAAGGCTCATTCTTTGCTCCCCGTGTTGGCTGGTAGCGTTGAGCACTTATTAAGAAGAACTACAGTTGAAGTTGTTCATGTTATCCATTGTGTGAAATAATAAATGACTTTATTGACAGCTGACACTGGTATGTGCTTTGTTCTTTCTGCTGGAAATGAAATTATTATTCAGAGTCTCTTAAAAACTGCTTGATCACACGCTGAGATTCGCCTGTGTGAGAGCCTGCGTGTGTGAGGGTGTGTGTGTGTGTGTGTGTGTGTGATGGATGACAGTCGAGGGGGGCTTTACTCTGATGGTGCTGACTGTACGATCATCAGAGTGAATGACTACTTTCTACTGATGCTGTTAAATGAGAGGGAATCCTTTCATCAGATGATACTGCAGCATCACGAAGTCACACACACACACACACACACACACACACACACACACACACACACACACACACACACACACACA